TTTGCTTAAAATATTTATCCTATAAATGATATTATATATGTATATATTTAGTATATAATATATATTTAATATAAATAATTAGGGTTGGGGCAGGGCGGGGAATTCACTTCCATCCTCGTCCATGTCCTTGGTCACGCATCATTATCAATCCATATCCCTGCCCTATCCCTGCCAAGGCATCCTTGACCCCATTGAGTTGGGGAAGCTAGGTGTTTGATAGAGATGGGGAAAACTATCATCCATATARGTCTAGCCCAGTTGGGATAAATTATAAATTGCATCCCTAGGTAGGAGTCTGATGACTTTTCTAATTGGCCCATTATTAGTTTTATGTTTTATTGTTTTAATTAATTTTTATATGGAATCAAATGATTTATTTTATTATTTTTAATATTTTTTTACATTTTAGTCATCTTTTTAATTATCATATTAATATTAATTATTTTTAAGTAGAATTTAAATGTATTTTAATTTTAAATTAGGAACTACTAATTGTCATTGATTTAATAATTTTTAATAGTTGCTAGATAAGAGCTTGCTAAAATTTAATATTCTTCTTAACTTTAGCAATTTTTTATTAATTTTAGTTATTAAGTTCAAATTTTACTTTTTTGTTGATAACTTACCAATTAAATAAACTTTAAATATTCAATAAATAAATGGAATAGAAGAGAGAAAAAGTTTCCCTTTGGAACACCATAGCTAATTATGGAAGATGCCTATGGAAATATGCTAAAATAGGTTAATGATGGAGGGGGTGGGACCTATGTCTAAGAATTCTCTCTCTCTCTCTCTCTCATTATTTTTAGGTGATTTAACTATTTATGATGTTTTTATTAACAAATTTTTAAACAATTTTTTGTTTACGGATTGGACCCATATTGGCCTTGAAATTTGTGGGCCTGAGCCCAAGTTGAATTGAAACGATCACCCCTAAGAAAATTGATTCTTGCTCATTAGATTAATGAGGAGAGGAGAGAGAATAAAATAACAGAAGAAAAATAAAAAAGGAAAAAGAGTAAATGATTTTTTAAGCAAGTTTTAGAGTAATTGAGAGGAGAGAGAATTAGTAGAGTGAGTTATTATAAGAGAAAGTTAATGAAATGATTAATGAGGAGAGATAATCAAAGGAGTTAATGAGAAAGAGTATATAAAGTTAATGGTGAGTTAATGGGGAGAGATGAAAGTCTTAAATACTTAAAGATGATTGGCTACTTGAGTAATTTTGTTTAGTATTAAAAATAAAAATTCAAAAAAAAAAAACACAAATTAGATAAATAGTAAGGGAGAAATGATGGCCATGTTGATATGGCATGTCTTGTTTTATTATAGATAATAGACTTAATAAATAATATCCTTGATTTTATTATTAATTTATTCATATTCTATTATAATATAATTATTTTATTAAAATTTTAATAATATTTTATTATTTAATTACTAATGTTATATTATTATTATTATTTTATTATTACTTTAATTATATTGTATTGATATTTTATTATTATTATTATTATTATTATTATTATTATTAAATTTAATAATAAATATCTTTGCTTGCTTTTGTTAATTTATTAATATTTTTTATAGTGCTATTATTTTTTCTAATATTTTATTAATAATTTATGAATAATTTATTATATATCTTATTATTACTTTAATAATATTTTATTATTTTATTAATATTAGGATTTGGGGTGGGTTTTTTGTCATGAGTTCTTTATTCCCTCTTTCTCTCTCTCTCTCTCTCTCTCTCTCTCTCTTAAATATCTTTCTTAAATGTATAATAACATGCATTGAGATGAGAAACTTTGGAAAACCAAAAAGTCCCTCTTTCTCTCTCTCTAATAGTATAATATCATGATAATGGTGTACAATTTTATTGAGGACGTGATAAGTTTTTTTTTTTAATTAAAATTGACAATATTTTTTTTTTTATATTTTTAAAGTAAAAGACAATCAGAAAAATATAAAAAAGAGAAAATAGATAATTACCTTTGTAGAAAGTAGAGAYATGATGACATGGCATTATTGTTTTGTCAATATGTAAATACATATTGCATGTACGCAAATATTACTGTAAATATATAAATACATATTTATGCATGTATATATGAAAGGTATAATCGGACTGCGCTGAGTTTGGGATAAGGTCGGGCTAGGCCTAGGCCAAACCCAAAAAATAGAAAAGCTCGAAGTAGATCCGAGCCCAGCCTGAGGACCAAAATTCAACCCAATCCATGTAAACATTTGGGTTGGGTCTGTCTGGGCTTGGGTTGCACCTAAGGGTGTTAAAGTATTGGTTTTGAATTGCCCGTCCAGTCCAAAATCAATTTGGATGGATTGGATGGACCAATAAGACATATTTGAACAATCTGCTAAAGCTTCCATGTTGCTTCTATCTAGCCTTCACTGACTGTTGCAAATAGAACGCGAAAAACGACTTTGCTCTACTTTTGTTAAACTCTTCCGGTCATTGGCCTACGGTAGAAATCACTGAACACGATCGCTCAAATTCCGTTACGGTTTGTTGTTCAAACAGAGTTTGTGTTGAAAATGTCCACTTAAGGGACTGAAAGTCAATTCTTTACCCAAAAGACAGATTTAGTTGTAATGGCAGAGAATTCTTCAGTTGTAGTGTTCTGAATAGTCACATACTCCAGTTGTAGTGCTCTGAATAGTCACTGGTGATCGGTGCTTTACTTGAGATGTGATGAGGGGTGATTTGGCCCGACCTATTCATGCTAGGACACGTGGAGGCGACTTTCTGACTGGACAGTGACTCAGCATTTCCTGTCACCTCAGCTGGTTAAGTTACCTCGGGCACCTTGGTCAGGACCGAGGTCCGAGTAGCTCGGGATGGCCCAACCTRCTAAAGTAACACGTAGCCAATTTCTAGAAGCTAGCCAGTTGTCTCCGAACTTCACGGGATTACGCCCCATGTCCTTAAGTCTTATCCTCATCATGCCCAGATCGGACGGACTCGATAAGCCTTATCGGCTAGCATGAAGTTCACCTCTTGGTGCGAAATGGACTCCTAACAGCACGCCCAAGAGATCTCAGAGGTATTTCGTGAGGCACACGACATCTCACCTATATAAAGGGCATTGACCCCAAGGCTACAAGGTATACATGATTTATTGCATTCTAACTCTTTTGTTGTCAAGCCTTTAATTTGCACATAGAAAGCATTGGAGCGCCCACATCGGGTTAGCCAAGCTGGATCCTTTGAACTCTACTTCCTTACAGTTTGACCGGCCAGSTAAACAACTGACGTCTGAACTGCCCTCCATCTAGGAGCAACCAGGTCGCGCACCATGAAGATGCAACTTTTGATCCTGTTGATCTTTTCCAGAAAACTTGCTCTTGCCTGAGGCTACCATGAATGGGAGGATAGAGAAAAAAAAAACAGAAATTGGTTTTCAAAGGAAAGGAAAAGGGAAAATATGCGAGAAACCCCATTCGGCCAAAATAAAACAGGGGACATTAACAATGATTTTGAGGCATAAAACTACCACTGTAACTGGGTTTATTTGTCCAAAAGTGTGGAATACATAAACAGAAGCACATCACATTCTTCAACTACCATTAGTTAATCAAGAAAATAATCTGAAATAGTGATAGATGGCACATGCTGGACCTTATGCCAATCAATTCCATTTTCTGAATCAATCCTATATGTGAATTTGATCGTCATGCGTCGTACCTCCAATTCCCTAAGCCTGGTCAGGTGTTGCAACCCATCTGGAAGCATCTGGAGGCATTTACAATTAACGAGACTCAAATGCTTAAGCCCAGGCATTGATTCTTCCTCTACTCGCCATTCTTCTAATTCCTCAAGACCACTGATTTCCAAGTGTTGAAGCATAGGAAACCCACCTCTAGAGCAGGCCATATCCTTTCCTATGTATGCGTTGTAATATAATTTGAGAAACCTCAGGTGTGGTAGCTTCTCAAGTGTTGTTGCTGGGTCTTGCTCCAAAAGAGACCCTCCCAGATACAGGTGGGTGAGGTATGGTGGAAATTCATCTGGGTCGAGTAGCATTTCCAACCGCCCATACAATATCAACTTGTAAAGATGTTGGTGATTAGAAAGCATCAAATTTGGGATCACAGTATTGTCTTCCATAGTTGCCAAATTCAAGCTTCGAAGTTGATGTAGTTCAGCAATAGCGTTAGACAATGTCTCCCTTTGTGAATTATGTATTACACGTATCCCCAGCTTCCGAAGATTCTTCAACTTGGGCAAGTCATCCTCAATCCAACTACCTGCCTCTACCCATTGTAGAGTTTGGAGAGTTCTCAGTCCATCAATCTTTCCACTTATTGACCCCCTATAGATGGAAACATGCCTTAATTGAACCATCTTGTTAATATCTTTGGGTAAACAAAATCGATTTTCAGACAAGTTTTCCATCTGGAGGGTTTGTAGATTGAGGAGATTGGAAATGGTGGATGGAATCTTTATTGCTTTGGCAAATAACAACCCCAAATACCTTAAATGAATCATTTCACCAATTTTCATTTTGAAAGCTGCTTGGTTGTCGATCTGCACATTCAAAAGATCCAGTACCCTGAGCAATCTAAAGCTTGAGAAGTGAATCCTTTGATACTTGTCCCTGATTTTATACAAGTTAAATGGGGAAATATATAACAAAGAACGGAGGTGGTTTGGAGTGCTGGGTTGCACTTGAGAGAGAAACTTGATCAAAAGCCTCATGTCATTAATGGTTACTCGACGCATACTGGTTGATGAGGATACTTGAAAATTTACCTCATCAAGAACATCAAGAAACCTGTCTTCTTTGGCTTCAGAAATTGAGAGATCTCTTAGAAGATCGTGGATGCGACATGTTTTGGCCTCCCCATTATATCTTCGTTTTGATGCTTGAACCATGCTCCGATTAATCAACTCCTGCAGATAGTCTCTGGCAACATCCTCCAATGTTTGATCACCTCTCTGTTGTATGAACCCTTCTGCAACCCATAACCGAATCAATTTACCCACAGGGATCTCAGAATCTTCAGGGAAGACACCAAAGTAAAGAAAACATGACTTCAAGTAATAGGGTAAATCGTTGTAGCTTAATGACAATATTTTTGGAATTGGGCTTTCTTCATTTCCACTCAATTGCCAAGCCATGCGATTTGAAACTTTTTGCCATTCATCCCAGCTTCTATCTCTCGTTGACAAATAACCTCCTAGAACAACGATGGCAAGTGGTAATCCTTTGCATTTCCCCACCATATCTCTTCCTATCTTTTCTAGATCTGAAGGCACCACACAAGTTGTCTGACTTCTTAGCAATGTTTTCTTACAGAACAACTCCCAAGACTCATTTTCAGTTAAAGGCTGCAATTCATGAGGAATCCTCTCAACGTCAGCATGGCGAGCCACATCTTTCTTACGAGTAGTAAGCAATATCCTGCTTCCCATCATCTCCTTCGGAAAGATATGTTCCAACCTATCCCAAGCTTCTACGCTCCATATATCATCTACCACCACCAAATATCTCCTCTGCTTTAAGTACAATATGAGCTTCTTCTCCAACTCCTCGTCACTCAACTTTTTGTCTTCTTTGGAAAACTCGGTGATTTGATTTAAAATTMTCTCAAGAATATCTCTCACCCTATACTCTTGAGATACATAAATCAAAGCACGACAATCGAAATGCTTAGTAACAAGGTTGTGATTGTAGACTTTCTTAGCAAGAGTAGTCTTACCTAAGCCACCCATTCCCACGATTGAGATGACTGAAAGCCATGGATCCCCTTCAATCAGCTCCCTGACTAGTGTTTGAGTTTCCTTGTCAAAGCCAACAACATCTGCTTCCTCAGCCACTTGAACCCTCCTTTGCTTCCACTGTGGATCTTGATTCGAGCTTCTTGATGATGACTCTCCCACTTGTGTCTGTATAGCTTCAATCCCATACTTCGATTTGTTTGCTGAAATTTCTTCAACTCTTCTCTTGATCTTCTCTATCTGATTTCCCAAATCATGGAGGGTCTTCAACTTGTTGGTGCGACTAAACCAGCTTGCTGCCAAGGACCTATACATATACACTCCACCAATACTTTTTTGGTGCTGCCGTTGAAGCACTAGTTTAAGCATGAATTCATCGATAACATCCTCAGCTTGGTGAGAAACGTCTCTTACTTGATTGACCCACACTTTCACTCTCTCATTTTCTTTGCGCTCTCTGTCTGCATCCTTTAAGAAGGAACGAATCCATTGGAGCTCGTCCCGAAGTGAACAAATCTGCTCATCCACTCCAGTTAGCAAATTTGCTTCTTGAGTGATAAACTCTGACAATTTTTGCAAGAAAAAAGTCACAACGCTCTCAGCCATTTTTTTGTTGGATCTGCTCATCCACTCCAGTTAGCAAATTTGCTTCTTGAGTGATAAACTCTGACAATTTTTGCAAGAAAAAAGTCACAACGCTTGCAGCGCGCAGAGCGGATCCAATGACTGTGCGCGTAGAGTAGACCACATCCTGGCCGTCCGCGTCCACCTACCTCCCAGGCGGGCCCCCCCCCCAAGGTGAGCACCTACATGCCTCCCTGGTGGCTTCGTAAGAGCATCCCATCCTCATGTCTTAGTTTACTTCTTGTCTCACCTACACAAACTTGATTGTTGGAGTCTCTGCCTCGGGTTAGCAGCCGGAGCCTATGACGTTCTCTCTTCCTTCACAAGTTTGACCTACCAGCCCTTGGCCACAGTGGACCTCAAATTCATCAGCCAGCCCTCGACTCCGAAGTAGATTTACCTTCTTGCCCTCAGCCCATCCTAGGCAACAACATATATAATTATATAAAGTGTATAATTGATAAATTTATTATTTTATATTTATATACATTTATTATACATATATACTTTAAAAGTAATTAGTTTTTTTAATATATTTTTTAACTTTTTCGTCATTTTAAACACAATAAGGTGGTTGCAAGTTAAATCCAAATCTGGTCTAAAATCTGACCTAATAATTGGATGCAAAAGTAGATCTAGAGATTTCATAATTGAATGCAGATGCGGATGCAATCCAATATAAATCTAATACTTTTACATCCTTATCCCCTGCATTATGTGTGGACTTGGTGCATGTCTAAGATAGACCTAGCTTAGAAGA